TCCATCACATTTTTTATTTTTTTATTTTATTCTATTGGTGTATTCTGAGTTTTTATTTTGATCTGTGAAAATAAATAAAATAAAAAAATAAATAAAAACATATCTTTAGCCAGGCAAAAACGGCCTCTGTTTATCTCTTTCCATGGCTTGCTTTGGCTGTCATATGGTGTGGAATGAGCAAACGCGTCGGCAAGTTTTGTTTGAGTGGAAGTCGGTTTCTTAACAGAAGTTTTCGAAGTCGAGGCTTCTGCTGCCTCGCAGCGCATCTTCTGACTAGCATCATATTCCGGTTTGTGTTTGTGTTTTAGGTGGTGAAATAAATTGGTAGTGTTGCTGTCCTTTGTCGTCACAGGTTGTCTGCAAACTTTGCATATTACGACTTTCTGCTCCCTATCAGACTTTTTAAATCCAAACCAGTTCCAGATAACGGAGCTGGAGCGTCTTTTAGGAACCAGGTCTTGGGGCACGTCTTGTTGTTTGCGCATGGCTCGCACGTGAGTTGGACTGCAGGTGTGTCACGCGCAGTATACGTCACCGGCGGGAGTTTATTGTTTTTATCGCGAGATGACAAATTGTTATCGTGAGGAATTTCTTTGATGATATATTGCACACGATAACATATCGCCCATCCATAGCGGCCACACAAAGTAATTACGTCATGACGCCCAAGCCCTATAGGAGAAATGTTCAATAACGTTTAAATAGTATAATATTATAATTATTTAACTTTGGATTGCATAAAAAGGTTTTGGAGCTAATAGAGTCAAGTGTGACATAAAGTTCATGCCAGCTGGCCAAGTCTACGTTGTTATAGTGAAGTTAAATAATAGCGCATATATTCACCTGAGAACTCATGATGTCCGTGTTATAGACCCTGGTTGCGTCCACTGAAGTGTATATGACAATAAAGTAGTGAATCTCAGTCTATTTAATTATTTATTTTTATTGTATTATAAATGCACCTATAGCTCATTTGTCTTTTGTCAAACAAAAAAAAATCACAGCATCTTTTCGTTTGATATATAAATAAAAGCTGAATGTTGGATGTAATTATCCAACACAGAGAGATTTCTGCAGGTTTTATCACATGACTCCACATGCCTTTCTATTTTCAGTCTCTCTGGTGCTTTCCGCTCCTCCATAGACTCTGAAGTAACGTCTTTCAGTAACAGCAGTTTGATATTAAGGGAGAAGCAGTTAGTGGGGTAGAAAAGGCCGCCGTTTCTCCCCAGAACTTTTTCACTTCATGTCCGTTTTTTTCACACTTTGCTCATGCACCACTCTGGGGTATTCCTAATAGTCAAAGTGCTTGTTGCACAGACAGCGTCCTGCTGTGTAATGCTTGGATGGAGATGCAGTGGCATTTGGAGCTGATGTGAGAAAACAGTTTTAATAGTTGTGGTTTCAGTTTTTTTTTTTTTTATCTGTCTCCCAGATGGTTTGTAGGTTTCTTTGCGAGGCTACAGAAGGTCTGACCGACAAACTTTTCATTCCCGCTGCTCGGAAGTTCATCATCAAACATCTTCTAACAGGTTTTTGTTCTTTATTTTCTGATATCATTTATTCCAGATATATTTGGCGCTGTGATTGAATGTGAGGGGTTTCGTGTCTGTGTCATCTAGGGAGATTAAAATATGCAGAAGTTTTATCATCGGACCTCCAGAAGAACGCTCTAGCTGCTTTGCTGAGACTCGGAGCTGTTCAGAAACTCAGAGGGTATGTTGGACGTTAATCATCTGGTTTTTCCTGATTCAACAAAATCATCCCATTGCTTAGAAAGTTTACTTGTTAGTTGTGATTAAGGTAAGTATTGGTAGAGTAGTAAACTTAATAACTGCAAATGATTTGATTCATTCAAAAATAAAAAACCGAAAGCACATCTAGGATTTGGAAATGTTAGATCTTTTAGCTTCTTTTAGGTGGTAATTTCTTATTTTTAGTGCACAACTTTACTTTTTTTTTATTAACTTTCTCCATGACCTGATTTTTTGTTATTTACTTGTTTTTAAATATTTTTCCCCATCAGATTTATTGTGTTTTATCTTGTTTTTTTTGGGACTCCTTTTTAGCAGTGAAACGTAAATTCTAAGAAATTCACAAATTCAATGTAAAAAGTGTGAATAAAGGGTATTTTTTTGCTGTTATGATTATGAGTTTTTTCCCTCATTGCTGANTATTTATTACAAAGTATTAATCAAACCTGGGAGCTGGCCGTGAGACAGACACATCGCAGATGACACAGAGAGCTGTGATCACTCCTCTTAAACAGTTTATTGACGCATAAATTAACTTAAAATGCAGAAATTTGCCTGCAGAATATGTTCCCTTTTATTATTCTGGTGCCTGCAGTTTAGATTATTTAGATGAAAAACACCTACCAGCCGCCGCTGTGAACTGCGAGGAGGCGACTCGGCCACAGGCTGCCGCCGGTATGTGGGGGTCTGAGCGGCTCCGACAGAACAAATATTAGAAGGCAGGATCGTAATCTGGATGAACTGACTGCAATGAGGAAGTTTTCAGGTGTATTTTCTCACTTAAAAACATATTAAAACTACTTTATTCCCGCTTATCACAGCAAATATAGCTGCAAGGCAAAGAAAGGATAGAGTAGCTCCGCACAACGCCCGTCAGACACACTTTTGCACTGTGCAGCCAGAGCAGCAAAGCTGCTTCAGCCGCGCGTCAGAACTAACTGGTACAAGCAGCAAAAATGAAGCAGCAGACGCGTGAACGTAGCATTATTTTGAACGGCCGGTTCACACCGATGTCGAGCGTATGAAGTTCCTTTGTCAGACCTCCCGTAATAACAGCAAGCACAGCGTTCATTTGTTTCACCATGTTTTTCACGTTGGCTGTGCGATGGGCACGCATGGAGTCACAGATTAACAGCAATGGTGATGCATGGCAAAAAACTACCTTGTCTCCTTACATTCAACTCCCTCAGCCACACTTCCCCCTTTAACGTTCTCATGGTGGTCTCAAACGTCCGCAGTAACAACACACATAGGGCACACCGCACTATAGGGTGCGGCGCACATTTTGAGGGAAAAAAAGACGTTTATATGTGCCTTATAGTTGTGAAAATACGGTTAATTAAAAATACGAGTCTTGGATTTTAATTTCTAGATTATATTGAGACTAACCAATCGCTTTATTGTTTATTTGCTCCAGAAGAGGGGGGCCGGCGGCTCTAAAGGTCAACAAGGTGATGGTGAATTCTTTGGAAGACACTCTGGGTGAGAGAAGTTTTCAGCAAGAACTTTGTTGCACAGAATGCAAAGTCTTTAACAAATCTTATCATTGTTTTCTACAGGAGGAAAACTGCCCACTCAGAAGCCCCTCGTTGCTCGCCTTTGACTCAGCGACGTCAGTCATCGGAGCGGGCGATCAGAGCACTTGGGTGGGGTTGCTCCTCTAAATGTGGAACGATATGAAGCGTCTCTGTGGGCTGATTCCTCCCTCTCCTGTCTGAGAGGTGGAACCAAACGTTTGGATCGGAAGAAAACTCCATCTGGTTTTTGTTAAGTTTGGTTTTTCTCTTCCCCTCAGATGTTTTCCAGGCTTTAAATTATGCTTTTTATAAACCTACATTAACAAAGGATGAATGGGATCTAAAAAGGGTCAACCACAAGCTTCTTCTGATTTATTCAGAATTTATTCAGAATTTTTGTTCATCTTTATAACCTTTATATGTCCTCTCTCGCCCTCTGAGTCGCTTTTTTTCATGGTATTCCTGTTCTTCCTCTACCCTCCTTTCCTCCTTTTTGAAGCACTTTGATTAATTTACTAATGCGGTGTGGTGTGGACCTATACCTTTTGATTTCCCTAAGATTAAATAGTCCCAGTCAGAAGTTTTTTTTTTTTTATACACTCATTTTTAGCATTTCTTTAGGGTGGATGACTAAACAAACACCCATGTATTATTATTTTTGGTGTTTTGGTGTAACTTTCTCTAATTCAAACAACAGGTTCAGAATTGATAACTATAAACTAAGGTTTACCTTCAATTAACATTTATGTGGTTAAATGTTCCTTCTAATTGACTGCATGCGGAGTGTAGAATATCTTTCCCTGGTTGTTTGACAACCTTTCTCAGCCAAATTAGGAAAGTTGAGTTATATTAAAGATGGTACATTTTCTTTTTTTTATCTCTGGGCTTTGATGAAGCTTTTCCAGAAACTTCCTCCATGTTTAAACCTGATTTGATGAGTTTTTGAAGTAATTTTCTGGCATGCGATCCATTACTGCCCAGGTCTAAAAGAGCTAGCTTTGCATTTAAGGTTTAAGAATATGGTTTTAGAGCAATTACAGCAACGCAGCCCCACAGTATGATGCTGCCACCCTCATGCCTGACAGTAGGAACAGTGTTCTTCAAACATGTCTTATGTAAGTGGGGCCTAATTGGTTGGTCTTTTTTTTTGTCCATTTGGGCATCTGGATTTTAGCTAAGCTTGCAGGTGAGGATGTTAGGACTCAAGCTTCTTTCTCGGCTTGACAATCTGGCTTGACTGTAAATGCCCACACCAGTGTTCCAGTTTCTTTTTTTTTGTAATGTAGCAAAGATTGCCTTTAACCTCTATGGTTCCTGGTGGAGCTACACAATGTAACAAATACCAGTCAATGTTTCAGTATTACAGCACGCAATGTCGCCATCTGGAATCATTTCTCTGATTTAATGTTTGGAAGGAGATTTTATTTTGACCTTGCTTTCAAATCCTGAATGCCAATGTTTGCTTTTTTTTTAATAGATGCAAGGATACACTGCATATTGTTTTCAAGCCAAAACTTATTGTATGTTCTTAGTGCTAAAACAAATAAATCACAAAGGGACAACAGTCCTGAATTGCAAGATTTTGCAACAGAAAAATTTTCAAATGCCTTCTTCATATCAGGCAACCTTTGCTCTTGAACATCCTAAACACGTCTTTCAAGTCAGGTAGCTTTAATTTTAGTCAGGAAAGCTTTAAACATTAGATTAGAAGGTTGCAAAAGTGAAATGATCCTGATGCAGATCTGAACTGCCTATTTATAGGATTCGTTTATGGGTTTTGCCTTAATGTCATACTTGGTTAAAAGCCTGGTCAGTTCCAGTGGAAATAAACTGTCAATGTTGCCCCAACCAGAAACCTTGCTAAGAAATTTTATGAATTCATTTGAACTGGTTTGGATTAGAGAAAATTTACATAAAAATTGTGTATTCATTTTTTTTTTTTTCATGTATTCAAATTGCTACGTTCTGACATTCATGCCCCTGAGTTTATAAAAACATCTGAACAGATCTACATTTAATCCAACCTTTAATCTCATGTTTTGTAAAGTAGAATTTTCTATATTTTAGAAATGTGCCACATGGTTGAGCTTTTCCAGAACAATACTGTACACCTTTTGTATTTTTGGTTGTTATTAACCTTAAAGCTTAGAGCTTAAACTTGAACTGAGCCACAGTGAGAATAAAGAAATTCAGTCATGTTTGTTTACACACTGGAGATGTTGCTATATATGTGATAACAAATTTAACATTTTTGCCAAGTTACATGTAACCACTTGCCTAAGAAAACCATTTGATTGTTCTTTTGGTTTATTTCAGGGATTATTTTCCTCATGTTTTGTCTGAAGTTGTCAAAAAAAGCAAAATAGAAAATGTGTTAAGACTTTATTTATTATTATTTAAAGGTAACTTGTTTTCCTACAAGCTGGAGACTCATAAACACAAACATCTGGAGGTCAAATTGAGAAAATATTTTACCCCTAAACTCAATCTGTTTTTATTTACTTTGCTTTTAGGTTAATGAAGTGACTTGTTGGTACTTTAAAAAAATATCCTGGGAGTTGTTTATTCATTTATAGTTTCTCAAATCTTATCCCTCTGCAAACGGCAGATTGATGTTTGACTAAAAAACTGTTATGTTTGAAGTTTTTAGGTTTCTTTGGGGCAAAGCAAGGAAAAAGTATCCAATCCTCCGATTTGTTTAAACATCTGATTTCAACTCTAATTTTAAAACCTTATTTTTTTTTCTAATAGAGAAAGACATTAAGAAATTATCTTTTCTGTGGAGTTAAGTACCAGAAAAAGAAAAGTTTAGATTCTAGACCAATGCTATGTCTTTGTCCTTTACAGATTTCTTTTTTGCTGGTGTAGAGAGAAAATAAATCAGACTTCCTCGCTATTTCAGTTGTTTCAAGCGTTTAGCATGCTGAGGTGGGTGAATCCTCACCAGTGCAGGCAGAGTCTCTGCATGGAGTAGCATGATATGAAGTTGAGTCATTGCAACATTTCCATACCTTTTGTAGCAGTGGTTAATTTGATATTTGAGGTAAAACTCTTTCTGCAGAATTCCCTCTAAACTGCATATTTAACATTATCAAATTACATGGGCGAAAAGTGATGCTGGAGTTGAAGCTGTGTTTCATAAAACTTTACAGGATTTCAAGTTAAATACACAAAAAATAAAGAAGCAATGAAATAAGAGCTTTTTAAAGCTAAGCTTTTTCAACGTTGGTGCTATTTAACCTTTTCAAATTATTGAGAAACTATTGGGTACTAGGACATGGTCACTTATTTTTTTACAAACTGCCTGCAATGACGCTCTGGTATACACTGTATACACTTCATTTTGTTTACACTTGTGTATACAAAATATAGTATAGATGGGTATTAAACAACCCTAATGTGACAGTTAAATATTTCTGTTTGTTTTTTTTCAAATATTTCCGACTGAATTTATTATGCACACAGTAAAAGGAGAAGATAATCTTCAAAAATCAATTCATCAATAAAATCAGGAAAAGGTTCAGTTAAAATCCAAGTTGGACTCTACAGCTTTTTAATTTAATTAGGCCTCACAATTGGTTGGTCTGATTTGTCATTTAAGTGTCTTTAGGCTTATAAATAACTAAAATTAAAACCTGTAAAATGAAGTTTTGTTTTATATGCAAATAATGTGTCATACTTCTCAAGTCGTGCTTCTTATCCTGCCAATTTCTTATCTAAAAGGGGATATGTGGTTATTAAAAAAAATATATATATTCCAGATTTTTCTAAATGAAGCCATTACCTTTTGGTTACATTTTTCCATTTTTTTCTGTCTTGAAGTAAAATAATTCATTTTTAAATGTTAATAGAAGTGTTAAAAATGTTGCAACTGTATTCTTTTGCTGAGCTTAGAACAGGACAAGAAAGGAGGAAATTCTCCTGCTCCCCTAAGTGTATGCATTTACTCATAAAAAAAAAAAAATCTGGGAAGTTTATTTAGAACTTGTTTTATCAGCTTTTTTTTATTAAGAACACTGTTTTTACTGCTTTTTGTACCACGAACACAGACGGCGAAGCAGCAGAAGAATCAGTCTGTATGAACACAGTCAGCTGAGGTCATTTGTGTTTTTTGGTTTTCCAGCTTTATCATGTTTATTTATGTTTGTGGTTTGCATTAACTGTAAGAGGCCTTTCACTACCAAACATGCAGGCTGTTAAAATAAAAAGCATCTAATAAAGTGTTTTCAGATACACCTGTCAGCCCTGAGTGTCTCTTTAATTTTATACAAACTTGGTTGTGTGACGAGGATTGACTTTGATAGTCACTAATGTCTCCATGGCTCTGAAAGGCGCTCTGCCTGTTTGATGGCCCGTTCTCTTGTGGTTCAGAAAACCTCTTTGATCATACCCGATTAAAACATGAGCCTCGTGTTTGATCACGATAAAATCTTAGCTTTATCTGCTTCAAACCCTTACAGTGTTTTTTAATCTCTTATGCAGATGGGTAGTTACTTTGTGAAGAGGATGGAATAAGTCGGGGAGCTTGATTGACAACTTTTTTTCCAAAACACTTGGACTTGAACCTTTTTTTTTTATAGTTTTAAACAACATCTTCTAGACCCTTTAATAAGGTCTCAGTATCATTTCAAACATGAGTTGCTTTGAAAGGCATTAAGACTCTTAACACCCTGCAAAGCTTTATATTCATGGATATCTCCTCTGTGAGGGATTAACTCACTGCAGTATTATTTCCTCTGTTCAGATGTAGTTAGAGCTGCTTAAAGCCATCAAAACCTTCCTTTTGCTTAATTCTTGAAACAGGATGACAATTTAATTTGCTTATGGCAGAGGCTAAAAAGGGAAGTCAAATGTTTACCATCAAACCTGACATGTCTACTTATTAAATTTGGAGGTGTGAGTTGGTTTCCATTTATTTTGCTCCCGGTATTAGTGCAGCAGGATTCCCACACGGCCAGGAAAAGTATTTTTCAGATATGAATATATTCCCGACTCGTATTCCTTTTCCACCGTCTGAAAGATTAATCTATATATTCATTTGGTTGTTCATCCAACCGTTCTTTTTTTTCCTTCAGGTCTAAATATCCAGCTAAGATTATGTAGATTTTTTTGTATGAAAAATGTTGCTTACATTCCTAGAAAGGATTAAGTACTTGAACATTTTAAGTCTAACTGTTTGCAATGAGGCTTTGCCTGGTTTTGTTTTTAGCCTTTAATTGTGGTGGTGCCAGAGACTAAGAAATCAGATCCCTTTATTGTTCCCCCGGTGCTATAAATTTAGCTTCTATCTGCGTTGGAAGTGCTAACCTTCTTTAGCCTGCATGCTTAGTTCACTATTGCTCATCAGGTTTGCACAATCCTAGAGGTTGAGCTCCTCTGTGTCTTAATGCTGAAAAATACTTCTTAAAGTTGATTTGGCACAAAGAAAATGCCCAAGAAAAGACATAAGGATCAATTTGGGTGTTTATTTTAAAAGTTATGTTAATGACTTATGGGAAGAACATAGTTTAGTGGATAGATTGGGTGTTCCAAATGCCCCACAAAGTTGTTCTACTTTGCGGAGGTTCATTCATGGTGGTGTTCTTGGACTGAACTGAGAGGAAGGCTACACTGCATGCTTCTCTGTCAGCACTACACAACAATCTTTGTGGCCATTACCTCTTCATCTCTAGACCAGGGGTTACCAACCTTTTTAAGGCTGAGGGCTACTTCATGGCTACTGAGTCATAGGAAGGGCTACCAATACTGACCTATGAACTGGAGGGATCACTGTTCACCTACAGTAAATCTCATCCATAAAAAGTCATTTTTATTCTTATTTAATTCTTTTATTCATTTCTAATTTTCTTTTTAATATTGTCATTTTGAAACCACTGAAATATGATGAAATAGTACATAAATGATTAAAAAGCAGCAACAGAATAAAAAAAAATTAAACTTAACCCACTGAGTGAGTTCTTCTATTTTCAGAAGACGAAGAGGGCACCCCATGTGGTCCTTTAGGGCCCCTTGGTGCCCGTGGGCACCGCGTTGGTGACCCCTGCTCTAGACAAAAAAAGTTCACTAAAAGGATTAAACAAATAAGACTATTTTGAACTATTTTCCACCTTTCAGTCTTGAAGTATAACTCAGTGTGACAGTAAAGTGTTCAGGAGTAGAAGGAGAAACCTCTGCAATGCTCTAATTTTTACTACTCCTATTGCTCTTATTTTATGCTCTATTATGCTCTTTTTTTTTACATCTACTTATTTTTTTATCTACTATGCTTTTATTTTTACTCCTAATTTTTACTTTCCAAAAGTCACATGCATCACAGCATGTAAACAGATTTACCCCTAATTTCAGTGGCCAAAACTAAGTAGCCTCTAAAGTGATAGCAACACAATTATGTAGTGTATTTTCTCGAAATAAAGTTTTTTTTTTTTAATAAAATGTGGGTTTAATTGATGCTATCCATCAAAACTGACCAAGTCTAAGCTATTTTGCAAAAAGAAAATAATGGACCAAACCAAAATTCAGTTAGGAAAGTTGGACCGAGGGAGTTTGATTAAAAATTGATGCAAGCGTTTCGATTTTTTATTTGAAAAAAATATTTTCAAACCACCCTCTCCTTTTCTTCCACACCACAATAATATACTGTTTTATGTTAATCTATCAAATAAAATCATAATTATAGAATGAGTTTATGTTTTGTTGCAAAATTTGAAATTTTAAGAGGTACAAATACTTCTACAGGGCACATAAAAAAAAAATGCATCACAAAAGTGGATTCGGTCACATTATGAAACAACAGCTGAGGAGGAAACGCAGCTTTATGAAGTACAATCACTAAGATGCAACATGAAACCCCCCTCTAGGTGTCAGACTTGTCTCTTTGTTCAGGGCATGATCTGTGGTAGGTTGTTGATGAACACACACGCTTATACACACACGCTCTGTCACAGCAGCATTTTTCATAAGGTTTTGTGGCGCCGCTGCTGACTAAGAGACTGCTGCCAGCAAATCCACCAGCTCCCATCCACAATGCCCTTTCTTTCATCGCCACTCTGACAAATTATAGGTTTATATATATATATATATATATATATATATATATATATATATATATATATATATATATAT